AGTATGTTCGAGTGTCAAATTATATTTTAGATATATGTATCAAGAAGCAGTGAAATGTGTTTAAGTTTTTAATACGAAAATTACTTTAAACTGCTTTTAGGAAAATATAAACTATTCAATTTGAGGCTCGTGCACTCAAATTTGTCGGTTTTAGGCTTCTGTTTTTACACTGGAAATCTGGACAAACTTGACAAGATACAAAAAAAGGCGACTGACTTATGAATTGGAATTATAGAATGCAATATTGGAAACCAATTATTAATACCTTTTCGGTTCCTAACTTTGTTCTGAGGCAACCAGGAAATTAGTATGCATACAATTAGTATGAAATCAGATTACTATTTTTTCCATTCAGTTTTGAAGTATTGTTGTTATATATTTCGTGAATCCTTTATTTAACATTTATCGTGTGAATATGCCCCCCCCCCAGTGGCACAGTGGTATGTCTGCGGACTTACAACGCTAAAATCCGGGTTTCAATACCGGTGGTGGGCAGAGCACAGATAGCCCATTGTGTAGCTTTGTGCTTAAATACAATCAAACAATTGTGTGAATAACGTTTATCTTGATGTTCTTCGTCATTTCTAACTCTCTCTTTTTTTGTGAACTAACTAGCTTGATGAACAAACTATATTTGAAACCACGAACTTGCAAAGTATTGAATAATCGACTTGAAAGTTTTTATTACTTTGAGCAGAGCAGACAGTCACTATTTGAAACCAACGTAAAGGATGTCATTGCCTCATATTTCTACTAAGAGTTCTTGTTAAGAGTGAGTTGAGGCTATTAGTTTTTTTTCCTAAAAAAAACAAAAAAAAGAGTTAAAAGTTCGTTCTTTTAGGAAATCAAGGTGATAAAACTCATGGAAGTTCGTATTAAATCATATTCTTAGAGAAAGGACGTTCATTCTGAACGCCATTTTAATAACTTTTCTATTAACGACTATTTTTGCTAGGCTTGACATACAGTGTCTGAATTTCTAGCAGTCTTGTCTGGCTTTTGTAGGAATAGTCTGTACATTTATAAATTAAGTCAGAATACTTCTAAAACGTGTAAGCTATCGAAACACGAGGGGGGAGGGGGTTTAATGCCGCGGTCATAAAAGGCCGCGAGTTTCTCCTTTATGATAGAATACAAAACTGTTTTCATTTTTAGATAAAAATATACACATTATATATGCATATACAAATAGATATGTAAGCAAATAAATTTGTTTTAAATTTTCCTCTACTTTGGGCCTCTGACACAACGCATAACCTATATACGTTACAATACAAAGATAAAACTTGGTGTATGGTATTCGCATACACATATACACGTTGAGAAGAAAACAAACAACGAGCTGCCCCGTTTCATTCACTTCTATACCCAGGAGGCTTTCGTGTCGTGTGCACAGATCCGACTTAATAAGATCCGGCACGAACTCAATGAGAGAATTTCTGCTGCACACACACAAACAGTAGAATAATGTTTTCTTCTCAGTTCTCTTAACGTTTCTGGTTATATTCATGCAGTTGTTTGTTTTGTAATAGTTATCTTTCGGTTTCTGGTTATGTAAACGTGTTGTTTGTCTTAACTCATTCACCGTTTCGAGTTAAACCGTGATGTCTGTTGAGTATTAGTTCTTTCACTGAGTAGGTATAATTAAAATCACGTGACGTTTATTTAGTGATAGAACATTCACTGTTTCTGACTGCACAAACGTGATGAGTGTTTAAAAATGGCGTTTTACGGTTTC